GTCTTATACCATACCCTAGGTCGGAACACCGTAGGGGACTGTCTCAAAAAGCCGAAGCGGCTGTGACAACAGTTGAGAAGGAGCTTGTGATCGACAATTTGTGGGGAAGGCGGCACGGAATGGGATGTGTGGTGGAGTAGGGTCCCGGATGCGACTCATCGCTAAGCAAGGGGAACTGGTTGTTCCCCATGTTCGCTTTTTCTCAGACGCCCTGAGACTTCGACACGTCAGATTTCAGCTCAGCTGTGATTGCAAGGAGCTTGAGCGTCTAGGACTTCCAGTGCTGCTTGACCAGCCAGCTGTGGGTCAGAATCTGCAAGATCACCTGGAATTCTACGTGCAGTACCTGCTCCTTGGCGAGGTGTTTCTTTGAGATGTCGCAAGTATATTGAAGTGAGATGTCCAGTCTTCAACACTCAGGAGCCGATACCCTTGCTCGCTGTATCCTTGGGCAGCAACCTTTCCGGGCCTTGGTATCCTCTCAAAGTACGCGTACCGCCAACCATGGAGAGCCATTCATGCTGGAGTTCTCTGGTTCATGGCGGGTGCTGGCATTGGCTCTTCCAACCATTTCGAAGTGGGTGGTTTCATCAGATCACGGCCTGGGATGCGCCACCCAGATCTGCAATATCATTTCATCCCTGGGATAGTAACTGGCCAGCTGGATTTCCTTCCAGAGCATGGCTATCAGGCTCACTGTGGCACAATGCGCCCGACAAGTCGTGGCACAGTTCAGCTCAGCAGTGGCAGCATTTTGGACGCACCTCTCATCGATCCTAACTTCCTCTCCACAGAGGAAGACCGAATAGATATGCGTGCTGGGCTACGATTGACAGTGGAGCTGATGGAGCAGAGCGCTCTGAGTGACTTCAAGCTGCGACGTTACGCGCCTGCCGATCTCGACTTGGACTCCGATGAGGCCGTCGATAGCTGGATCCGCTCCTCTAGTCACTCAGGCGGATTGCTGTTCGTCGAAACTCTAAACCCCGCGTCTGTGCCAGAAGTGTCCTTCCCTGATCTCCAGGATATCATCTGTCGTGCACTTGTGCGATGGGCAAAGTTGTGGACGCGACGGGCCGGGTTAACGGTCTGGAAAAGCTGCGCATAGTGGATGCATCCATAATGCCGTCCATGACCAGTGGAAACCTGAATGCGCAGCGACCTTAGCGGGGGTTGGAATGTAGTAGATGGCATGTTGGAGAGAGTGAAACTGTCCTATGCAGCGTCACGCGTCAGTATGCTGCGTGCCCGAACGCCTGTTCGGCGGACCGGCCTTGCTGGCACAGCGTCCATATGTGCGCGGAGGCCTACGATCATGATGGCAGAGAAGATCGCAGACGATATCTGTGGACGCGAGGCGCTTCCACCTGCCGAGGAGCGGCCACTAGCCGAAGCAAAGGCCAAGGAAAGGCGCAGGAACGCAGCGCAGTTACTTAGTATTTCGCCGTTTCGGCTTATCTTGCTCCCGTGTAAGGCTGTAATGCATGAAAGTGCAGGATGCGAGTTGGTACGTGCCAAACGACTACGAGTCCCTTCAGCGCCGGTCTTAGCAAAAGGGCTTTGTCGTAGATCCGAAGAGAGCGCAGCCAGCCGTGGTCAAAAACTTCGCTAGCTTGTCAGCCTCTTCACAAGGAATTGCATAAGCCTGCCCGTGTGACTACAGGCGGTGATATCGTCCCTTTTGCTTTGAGCAGCGTTGCTTTCTTCAACCCCGTCAAATTCGCAACGTTTTGAGAGGCAGCTGTTTGAACTTTCATTTTTGCCAGCCTAGCATCAATACAAGGGCGCATGGCTCCTGTACAGCCCGCCTCCCCTTTTGAACACGACTGAGAATCAAGGGATTCTCAGATCTGTCCTGCTTGGCTTGCAAGACAGCTTGCCTCCACGAAAGGAACCTTGCTACTCTCAGCGCCGACGGAGACTACCTTGTACATGTTGGCTTTTTGGAAACTTTGGAGAGAACCGCTGGCTCAAGTTGACACCAGGTTGCAGTAGACACAGCATGTGAGGTGACCTATCGTTCAGGCGTCGTGCAGCCTGACACTGTAGCTAGGTGAGCAGCCGCTATCGGTTTTCAGCTTTCACCACAGCCTCATTGCTCGGTTTCTTGGCGTGAAGGATTGCGTTGGATTTACATGCATGCGCAGCTTCATGTGCTCCTGGTCTAGCTGGAGCCAAAGCGAAGCTGGGGGCCGAATCTGACTTGTTGCCGAATGTTGCCGATAGATCAGGCTGCATGTTCTTGGAGGTCTAAAGTGTGACGATGCAGACGGCATGTTGGGGTCTCTTTGTCATGCTGTCAAGCACCCGAGTGGTTGCAAAGGCCTGCAACGATGCCTGCAGGGACGACAGCTTTAGACCTTGTGCAGGGCATCACCGAGTGACCTCTCTCCGCAGACATGAACAAATCGAAAGCTGACAAGGCTCGCACGAATATGGGAGGTACAGCAGCCGCATCGCGCTGAAGATGCTTTTCCAGCAGTTCGGCGAGGCGGGTCCTTCTCAACGCATGGACTCAGTTCGCTTGCCTAAAAGTGCCTGCGCGTGCGAGGTGACAGCATGCTGGATACCTCCATTAGAGCATCGCAGCAATGAGAGAGCGTGCCCCGTGATGGAACCATGTTTGAGCCATGTCAACACGGAAATTGCAGCTGTCAATCAACCGAAAGGTACGTCAAGTTTGGTACCACCAAAGCAGCGCAGGTGTGGCTCCATGAGTCCTCTGAAGAGTGATAGCTTGAGGAAGGCAGTGCAGTGAAGTAGATCCTGTCGCAAGGCCGCTTTCGAGGCTTCTCAAGCAGGCCAACTGTTTCTTGTGTGGCGCCCAAGATCGAGCTGAAGTCACGTCACAGCGCCACAAGTGCCACAAGCCACATCAAGCCACGGCAGAAGCGCAAGGACGGCGTGAGCCTAAAGGCCGAGTGGCGAATGGCACCGGCAAGGACCCCGTGGCGAATGTCTCCAATATTGTCGCTTCTCGTCGCTTCTCGTCGCTTCTCCTCACAGCAGGACACAAGATGCTCGGGACTTCGAAGCTCGAGGTAGCAATTTGATGACGCTTCTTGCCTTCATGGCCCATGCCATACCCAGTTGCCGAAGTGAAGCGAATCTCGAGGTCACGGGACCTTATGCGGGCGCAGATGCGGGGAGGGGGAGGAGGAAAAGGAGGGTCAGCCGTATTCTCAGTTAAGAGCAGAGTGAGTTGCGACTTACGTATCACGATGTATCACGTATCTGTGGTGCTTAAGGGCCGTGATGACCCTCGTGGTGCTGGAGGCGGCAAGGGTAGGCGCGACCTTGATAGCGGTGGCTCTCGTGCTCTGATGGATCGGGCCGGGAGCCAAAGAATCGACTGAGGCTGCGCACTCACGCAGGAACACCATTTTTTTGGCTCAGGTTTCTGGAGGCTCGAGACGCAACGACGACAGAGAACGAGACAGGTGATCCTCTGTGGTGCTTGCAGGGCCGTACGTGATGCCTGAGTGCCTTGTGCCGATTGCATGCACCGAGCAGGGAGAAGGATCGAAAGGCGAAGGCTACTTCCGGCACTCATGGTGTGCTATGTGCATACTGGTTTGTCATGAGTCCATGTGAGTGCATGTGTGATGTACAGGAGAGGGAAAGGAGCAGAGAAAGAGACAGGCCGCGAAAGGGTTGCAAGAAGTTGCAAGATGAGCAGAGAAGTCTAAACGTTCCTCAGAGGAAGAGGAAAAGCCGCAGCCGCAGCCGCGATCGCAAGCGCCGGGAGCGCTCGCGGAGCCGGCGCAGCGGGCGCAGCGCGAGCCGCCAGAAGCGCTCCGAGGAGCGGCCGGCGGCGCTCAAGGCCGCCGCACCACACGGGCCGCTGATAGCCGCGACCTTTCCTCCTCCCCTTCAGTGATTCAGCCAGGATGGTGCTGTTGCGGTTGACGACGACGAGGGCACCACTGCCGTGATCTAGTAGGCAGCCCAAGATCGCCTTCAAGCCTTCCCTTGAAGCCTTGCCTTCCCTGTGCCTTTGTTGGTCTTATGTCACGACCTGCGCCGAGGCCAACTGGAGTTCATGTGCGTTTCGAAGATGCAGCGTTCCAATGTCAGAAATGTCAGAATGCATGGCACCTGCTGGTCTGCAAGTGCTGAATCAGAGCCGAATCAGTGCTGACATGTGCTGACCTTCGGAGATTCCGATTTTGCGCACCATGCCGCATGTGTTGCCAGCCCCATTGCCCGAAATACCGGATGTGCTTGCTGTTCGGGCTCTGGTCAGTTTTAAAGAACCCGCAGCACTCCAGCCTATCTCAACTTCCAGAGCCTCGTGGCATTGTTTTCCCCCTTCCATTGAAGCCTGCAGAATGCCACCAAGATCAATCATCCATCTGCCCTGCTCGCAGCAGTCTCCCAGTATTCCAACACTGTCTTTGGTTAGCTCTCATTTTTCCCCTTGCAAGCATGGGCTAGCCACGGTGGGCAGGTGGCAGCATTGAACTAGGAATGTGCAAGCAGGCTACACTTTGTCAAGGGCTGTTGCGACAGTTTCGTCTTTCGTCTCGCAGGCTATGCTGGCCATGGCAGCAACAAAGTATTCAGTCGAAGGTGGGCCGGTGTGCTTCCGCAGCAGGCTAGATCACGGCGTTTGAGGCTTTGTAGATACACGGAGCCCCTCCGAAGCTCCTCTACCTATCTATGTATCTATCTGTTCTCCCATCAGCAGAGGTCTCATGACTAGGCATTTGGACGTGATTTCTGGCTGGTTCCACAGCGGAAATCAGAGGAACACAGAGGCATCTCAAAACCGATGCAGGGGTTAGGGGTTCGACTCCAGGTTCGATCCCGTTGGGTTGACTGTTTGAGGGACTGAGAAATGTCTGCATCAACGTCAAACCAGGCCTTGACTGCGTGGAAGGATCCCGAGTGTCTTTAAGCCCCCGCTTGAAACCGCACTCTCACTTGTTGGTCACTGGCGGCAGTGTGCCAGGCTGCAAGAAGCTCAGTCGTCGACGCGCGTGCCCAACCTGCAGCTGATGCGCCGAAGGCTCTTTAAGCTTGCTGCAGCTGGCCGTCTTGATATCTGTTTCACTGGCAGGGATGCACTGCCGGGTTTCTTGTCGCGAGACATCATTGACCAAGAGATCCAGCAGCTATGCGCGAAATGGCCAGCGATACTCGAGGACAACACAATCATTCGTAAAGCACAGGGGCGGTATCGCATCAACGGCCGCGAAGTGACGGTGTCTTTGAGAATGCGAGAAGCCACGCGGGAGGAAGAAGAATGTGTTTCCAAAACTCCGTCTTTGGATGAGGCAAAAGCTGCTGACGGGCAGGTCATGGACCTCAGTGGAGACCTCATTGTTCGGGATGGGCCACTAAAGCAGCCATTTCTGGATTATGTCTTCGATACTGGACAGAAGGAGTATTACTCAATGGCTGAGCCAGACAAATTGGAGAACAAATCCGTGGATACGCCAAAGCCACTGGCTCCCGACTTGAAGGGTGGCCAGCTGGCAGTTCAGGACGACCGCCTGGAGGCCAATAGCTGTAGCAACGGCCTTAAGATCAAGAGTCACTTCTGGGCTCCCGGTCTTCTCAGGCAATGGAGATTGCTTGGACATCCAGTGATGCCGATTCCCTCAGCGAGTTGCCTCAGATGCCATTGCCGCCGCCATTGCCGCGCTCTTGGGGGAGCGAGGAGCGAGCATCGAGTCAGTAGACGTTGCTGTGTCGCTCACAACATCCCTATATCTCTGAGGCCCAAGAGTTCGGAGCCAGTGCAGCATGCAGCAGGCACCTCTCGACTGCTCGAGTACCATCTGGAAAGGCATGATGCAGATTAAACATGACACCGGTCTGGTTCAGGCATTCACTTGACGAAGACCTGCCAAGAAACGTCTCAGTGACATGGCGAATACCATATATTCAGCTTTGTTTGCATGAGAAGCCAGACTGCCGGACGTTCCGCATCGTTCCGCAATTTGAGCGTGTCAAGTGCGACGCATATAGCAAGGAAAGAAGGTAGCAGCTTGAGTTGTTGTCATTACCCTTGCACCGCTGAGTCTGCTCAGCTTAGCGCAAACTACGCTGTTCATCCAAGGTTATGCAGAACCTATGATGCAGAGGCACCTGAAATCACCGACATGACATATCTCGTGCTCCCAGGTTGAGTTCAGACAGCTCGACTCTGCTTCGTCAGGCATGTCTTGTCGAGATCGTCATGGACATGCCAATAGCACCCGCTGGAAGCTTCCCAGTATGCCACGCGATGTTCTGCACCCCACAGGTGGGCTTGCATTGAATGCTCCCTTCTCCCTTGCTTCAGCAACTGAATCAACAAGCACCAGGTAGCTTCGGATCTTCGTCTCGACGCAACAAGTGTCATTGATGTGCGTTGCGACTGCGAGGCATGTGCAGTGGCTTCCCCGAACTCTCCTGTTGTGATGGGCCTGCGGCACAGTGGAGTCCAGCTCAATGGAAGAGTCTAAGCGAAGGAGTCGCAAGCCAGGAGGAGTATGCTTCCAGGAAGGGTGTCGTGTACTGGAGCAGTCCAGGCTGTCCAGCATGTTGCAGCTGCAAGCGTTTCGGTTGTTTGCAGGCTTGTTCGGTCCTGTCCGGCCCTTTCGTGCTTTTGGTCTGGGAGTGTCACGAGAGAACCGTCTTCCCTCCAAGATGGTTCGAGTATCACGTCACCTGGTAGACTATCCGGCTTGGCTGACATATGGCAGAATTGGAGGCTGACGAGCCCTCAATAGTTGAGTCGTTGAGTCACCTGAGCCATGTCTAGCAGCTGGTGTCTACTTGTTTCGAAGCTGCGAGAACCATTCTCATTAAATGCACATCATGTTTACAGAGGGTTGCTCTGAGGGTCCTTATTCTGCGACGAGAGCCGAAATTGAGTGTGCAAAGCAGGGGGCTGCAAGAAGCTGGGGCTGAAGCATTTGGACGCTGGTCTTTCTCCGGCGTAGATTGCCTAAAACGCTTGGATGAGAAGCGTGGCTGCCTTTTTTGTGAAGATTCCGCACCCTGCGAGTCATTCTCGGATGCCCGAACCACTCGTAGACAGGTTGACGTCAGCACAGCCGTGCAGGCATTAATCATGCATACAATAGTTCACGCTCGCCACATTGCGCCGCAAGTGCAGTTCAAAGCAGTGAGCGCGGGAAGGGCAGGACGGCTGACTAACGGGCCTCGACCTTGACAGCAGTGAGCGGACATCAAGAGTCATCGGAAATGCAGAACATATCCATGCGCATGCATGGCCGACCGTCTGAAATCATTCTGCTCGGTCTTGGCAGGAAGTCGTGAAACCTGATGTTCTGAACTCCTCTGCAAGCCCATTGCATCAAACTGTATTTCCTACCCCGCAGTTTTGTGCGACTAAGGTCCCCACGGTGACAGCTCCACGAAGCCCTGCGTCGAGTTGCAGGAGGTCCAGAGCTCTCTGGATTTCATTTTCAGTGTTCACAGAGTGCTCAGTGATGCGCGTTCTCTTCTCGCAGAATGACGTGCCTGGCGGGCCCGTGAAGCCTTCGGAGCTGGTCATGCGAAACCCCTGGCCACAGGCCGAAACATGTAGCGGCTGCATCACTGTCGCATGTCCTCTTTCAGACGCTGTTCCGAAGAGACTGTGCAAGAGTTGCTTGGTGTATGTGATGGAACTTCTGCAGCAGTGCTAGCTTCTTTGCGAAGTCTGGTCGATAACCGAAAGCAGCATACGCACAGCCACCAGCCGTAGCTGCAAAGACGGAAAGCCAAGATCTCTTGCGTGGGCTTCACGGTGAAGCTGCAAGTAGCCTTGGTTGCACAGGTCCTATAGGTCCTGAAGATTCGCCCAAAACAGGACGGAGCGGTTCAGCTGCTTCCGCTGCTTCCGGCCGTCAGTGACTTTCGAGGCCTAACTAAACGCCTTGGCGCGCGCGCGTTTGCTCTGCTCCGAACTCTGCAGAGTCTCTCTCTCTCCTTCTCAGGGGTCTTGTCCTCAGGTAATGGCCCTGCCAAGGTAAAACGCCGGCACAAGTATGGAGAGGCCACGACAAGAGACAGGAGACGCTAGAGAGAGTGCATGAGCTTCGGTGTCTCACATGCTGCACGTAAGCTTAAGAGGATCAGAGGTTTGTCGAATGTTCGTGACTTGCATTGCGCAGGTGATCTTGCCTGGTGAATTGACGTTTGGATTCGGGCATGCTGCATCCAAGATTGACCAGGCCTTTAGGGACGTGTTGCCTTTCGATATCGCAGCGCCTTGCCGCGTTTCGGCCAGGCCCAGGCATGGCCAGATCGTCCACTCCGAGAGGCGAGGGGAGCGATCGGAGCTCTCAGCTCTCGCCTCTTCTGCGGTTCTTTTGCCCTTTCGCAGGCTCCGACGAAACAGGCCCCTGCCGCACTGGCATTGGATGAGCTGCACCTGGCAGAGCTGTAGGACTTTAGGCAGCCCAAGCCCTGCCCTGAACCGGACTCTGCGAAAAGCGCCATGCAAGACGCCTCCAAGGGTAGACGGACGTGGTGTGTTCACAGGCCCATCAGAGTTGCCCCTTCGTCTCACACATCGATCGTGACAATACATGTTTCACCGCAGCTACGACGACCCGCCGTGCGCATGCAGAGAGCGGCTCCGAAAGATCACAACACTTTGGCATGCTCTCTTCCAGCATTCACACATCACTATCAAGGATCACTAGCAACCAAAGGCATCGTGGCGGAGTAATTAATGCCCATGTGCATTTCAACAGATCTTGGCACGTGTGTCTATTTCGACCCCATGTCCAATGTGATGTCTTACCTGTTGCAGCTGTCGAGTGCTCTGTTCGCACGATGAAGGCGCCAGTAGCATTTTAGTGTTCCTGATGTGGTTGCCGGCCCAGCACCTGGCGTCTAAGCACAGGCCAAGGTTCAAACATTCAGCATCATTCTGCAGTACCTATCGAGCAGAGGCGTTATTGGCGCCTTCTGACAGACGGTTGAAAAGGCACCTGCCTACGTCGGAGCTTTACAGATGGACACAGAATGCCGCCTCGCGAAGTGTGGGAGCCTTACATGCTGATTCGAAGGAGAAGCGTGGCTTGTGAGCATTTTGGCAGATTCGACACTCCTCCTCCTACTACTGCTACTGCTACTGCTCCTGCTGCTGCTGCTACTACTGCTGCTGCTGCCAAAGCTGCTACTGCTCCTGCTGCTGCTGCTGCTACTGCTACTACTACTTCTTCTTCTACTACTACTACTACTTCTACTACTACCGCTACTTACCACTACTTACCACTACTACTACTACTACTGCTACTACTACTACCACTACTACCACTACTACCACTACTACCACTACTACCACTACTACCACTACTACCACTACTACCACTACTACGACTACGCCAAGAACTACAACGACAGCAACTACTACTAGTACCCAATAACAACAACTACTGCTACTACTACTTACTAGTACTAGTACTAGTACTAGTACTAGTACTAGTACTACTAGTAGTACTAGTACTAGTACTAGTACTAGTACTAGTACTAGTACTAGTACTAGTACTAGTACTAGTACTAGTCTAGTACTAGTACTAGTACTAGTACTACTACTACTACTACTACTACTACCACTACACTACCACTACCACTACCACTTACCACTACCACTACCACTACCACTACCACTACCACTACCACTACCACTACACTACCAATACTACCACTACCACTACCACTACACTACCGCTACCGCTACCGCTACCGCTACTACTACTACTACTACTACTGCTACTACTACTACTACTACTACTACTACTACTACTACTACTACTACTACTACTACTACTAATCCTACTACTACTACTACTACTACTACTACTACTACTACTACTACTACTACTACTCGTCCTCCTGCTGCTGCTGCTGCTACTGCTGCTACTGCTAGTGCTATTACTGCTGCTAGTACTCTACTATTTCAATTGAACGCTGTGCGAGCGGGCTCAGCACATAGCGGGCGATTGCCGCGGTGCACTCACATGGTGTGAAACTGACTCAGACCCTATAGCTGAACAGCCCAGGTCGAAGACCTTTGGGTGTTGGCGGCCTACAGGCTTCCAGCTAACTGGCAGTGGTCAGCCGAAGCAAGTTGGTAGGCTGCCAGGCATCAAGCTTCAGATTGTTGTGTGTACCTGAGCGAGGATAGTGATTATGCAGCACTAGTAGCAGAGGCACAGTTCTGCGACTGGCAGAAGGCGAGGCATGTTTTTCTCTGACAGCGGCGGCAATCAGCAGAAAGGCCGTCAGTCCGTTCCGGAAGAAACGAAGTAGAAATGCAGGCATGGCCTCCGCATTGCACTGCATAGGTTGCCATTGGCACCGGTGATCAAAGTTGGAGCTCACTGGTGCCAGGAGCGGCTGCCACTGGCCCCCGAGTCCGAGCCACGATTCCACCACCCTCCTCGGGTCCAGGCATCGCCGTCTCTGTAGCGCTTGTCTGTGTGAGACTGTGTCTCTTCACCAGAGCGCTTGTCACGCTGTTCACGCTGCTCACGTAGCTCGCGTTGACGATGCCATTGGTAGGTGGCCGTGTCGCCCTTGTTGTGTTCGATACGGAGCTTGCGGACAACTTGACCATCCCGAGGCTGGTAGAAGATGGCGCGATTTTGGCCACCACTCTTCCTGGAGGACTGGTCATAGATGCACTTGAAGGTGGAGGCCACGATCTCGAAGTTGTCATCCGTTTCGAGCAGTGCGCTCATGTCCGGATGATCCCACATTTTCTGAAAGAGGGCGTGCACTATGCCATAGTAGGTCGTGGTGAACTTGAGCTCGGTGTAGCGATCATCTTGGCCAATGGATAGTGTGAATTGGCCATTGGCCCCGACCATAAGCCGCGCTTGCGTGATGTCAAGCCAGTTGGCATCCTTGTCAGTGGCGACCTTCTTGATCGGGGCGAAGATCCATGGCACCTTGCCCAGTGCCCGAAACCGATTGGTCCAGAGGTAGACCTGCTCGGAGGCCGTGAGGCCACCCACTATGGCCTGCTCCTTCATAATGGAAATGGTCGCGAAGGCATGAACCCACTCCAGCATCTGGTCAGACTGGCAGATGTGGATAATCTGATCTCGCTTTGGCAGTTGATTTGCCTCTTGCTCTGGAGAGGGGTTGACACTGTACTCCACCAGCTTGGTCGTAGTGACCGGTCCCTGGTATTTGACCTCTGCACGCGTAGAGGGAGCATCCACAGGGGAGGATGATGTGGTGTCAGCCGGGCCTGGGGTCTGCGGGACGGTCTCCTCGGTGGGGGCAGCCGTCGGAGTCACATTCTGGGCTGAGAATGCATTGAAAGGCCGATCACTTGTCTGGCCAGAGCCAGCAGACTTGTGTGACTGCGGTGTGCTCGCCGGCAGCATCGGAGTGTCTGGCGTGCCCACAGTGTCTTCCGCCCATCCCAACGTGGGAACAGCAGTGGCCTGTTTCTCATCCTTGATGTCCGCCTGTTGGTCATTGACCCCCTGTTCTTGTTTCACTGCAAGAGGCCGGTGGCCCTGCGCATGTGGGGTAGGACCTGGCGGAATGGGAGGGAGGCCGAGCCCAAAGCGTGCCTTAGACACCGACGCTGTGGGTCTCCACTGGGGCGGACGGTCCGCCGTGGGTTCTGGTGGTGGTGGAGCCTGGCCTGACGCTGCGATGGCTGCAGCTGAGGGAGGGTTTGCAGGCTCTGCCGGGCGCTGCGACCACATGCTGTTGCGAGGCGGAGGGCTTGGTGGCTCGGGCACTGATCGGTCGTGCCGGGATTGCATGAAGTGGTGTGTGACTCCCAACTCATTTGGGAACTTCAAGCGCCGACCGCCGCGCTCGCAGTAGCGGCAGGAAAGCCAGTCTGGATCTTCAGGGTGAAGGCAGAGGCCTCGGGGGATGTTGCGAAGGACAGCCTCGGCCGAAATGCCGTGGTACTGCGGCTCTTTCTCGACCGCCGCCATGATCGCGTCAAAATCACCCCGTTCGAGGCTGCTGAGCACGGTCTCGCCGACAACTCTGACGCCTGCATTGGTGAGCATTGCTCCCGCCTGTGCTGAATGGGGTGCTGCAGAGGCAGCGCCACCGGCTTCAATGACCTCCGAGACGATTTGGGGCACGCTCTGCATGAGAGAGTTTTCATTTCTTTGAGCTGCCCTGGGGTCGCTCTTGAAGCCTTTTCGCCAGCTCCAGCATCGGGTGAATGCTACCCGAACCTGACCGCGGGTCTCAAAGTAGTGACCGTCGGACTCAAGCTCTTTGGACTTGGTGAGCTGAGCTGAATGTCGCTCGCGGAGCAAATACACCGGTCCGAACTGTCGGGTCTGGTTCCATCCTGTCACTGGGGTGTGGCCCATGTCGTGCGTGAGGAGCTTCCAAAGTTCCTTGCAGAAGATCATGTAGTCCAGGTTGGCGACCGAGGCAAGAATTTGCCTGCTGAAAGCGTGGTTTATAGCGCAGAGCATGAGGGGATGGCGCGGTTGTCCATAGATGATGCCCTGGAAAATGTGGTCATTTTTGACCCCAATGCCCATGATCATGTACTCCTTGGGCAGAACCCCTTCCACTCCATTTGGGCAGTGCCCCAGCTCTTTGCTCTTGCGAACTTGGACATTGTCCCATTCTGAAGCTATGAGCCCTAAAATTTGATCGAAGGGCATTCGCAGCGCCATCTTGATATCAAGGTACAGGCCACCATGATAGTAGTGGTAGACGTACCTGAAGACATCAGCCTTGTGAGCAGGCTGCCTCAAACTTTTGATCAAGTGTTCTCCGCTGTCTCCAGCATGCACCTGAAGGGTCTCGAGCAAAATCTCGTCATTGCAGAAGGAGCGCTCGAAATCAGCCAGGAATTCCCGGCACATGCTTTTGGGACCTGGGTGGTCATCGTGCATGTATGTCTGAAAAAGAGTGCGGGGCATTGGCCGGCGACTGACATAGGGTTCCAGGAATGGTCTGAGGGCCCATGCCTTGCCCGTGTGTCGAGCAGCCACCGCACCCACCTCAGACAGTGTCTCCGCGCTGCACAGGTCGAACGTGGCGTTCATCTCCTTGTGGACATTGTCCCCCTGGCAGTTCCATGAGCACACAACCAGAACATGGATCGCATTTGGCTTCAGTCGCCGCATCGTTTGAATTGAGCGGGATACCAGCAATCCAATGACGTGATCCGCCACCGTCGGTCGAAAGTGACAGTTATTTTGGTTGTATATTTGATCGACCAGGGGAGGAGGGCCTTGGAGGCTCATGATGGTCTCATCGCTGAGCTCGTACCGTCCCAGGCCATACTGATCCCTTAGCTCCGCGATCCAGTCGTAGGCCTTCTGCTTATGGGGTAACAAGCTTTGTCTGATGGGGATCAGGCGCACGCTAACCTCGTCATAGTAGTGATCACGGAGAAAATTGATCAATGCAGGGCTTTCCGCCGGGAAAGATCGCGTTTCTCCAAGGACGCGGATGAATTGCCAGGCCAGTACCTCCAACACCGCTGGGTTGGGTGGCTGCGCACCCGTGTACTCTGCTGTGAGAGTGGTACCCGGGCAGGAGATGACGTAGCCGTGCATTGCACCCCGAACCATGTCAACGATTCCGTAGGATTGGCCATTGGCCCCCTGCCATAACAAGTGTTGCAAGGTGCTGTCACTGAGCACCAAGAAGGGCTTCGGCGTGGTCGGTGTAGCTGCCATGCCCAGTTGCCAGTGCTCGTTGAGCACCGCGCCCTTACTAGGCTGAGGGAAAGTGAAGTGGTGAGGAACTGCGCAGGAATGTCAGAGCTGTAGCCTAGGGCAGAGCATGCTGCAATGTTCTAAAGTCTGAGCCCTGAGCCTTCTGCTTTGTGTGTTGTTATGCTTGATGCCTTCAGTGATCTTGAGCCCGGCGGCGCAGCAGGAAAGCTGCAAATGCATTCACGCTGAGGCAGCGCTGCAGAGTCAGCTTTGCTTGTGCGAGTGGGCAGGGGCACTGGTCCGGCCATGCCAGAAGGTCGGCGTCAGCAGGGGCAGCCTGAGGGCATCGTCGGACCTTAGAGGCGATATGCCAGCATCAGTAGCAGTAGACATGAGCGATCCGTGTGTCTCTCGCTGGCAGAGAAGCTGTGTGTATCTGCCGTCTTTTCAGGTCACCGAGCCTCCAGGGAGGGTGTCGGCAGCTGAGGCTGTTGGTCAAAATTTATTGAGCTATTGGACGTGCTTCAGTCCGGCTCAGAGAGGGCGTTCAGCAGCCTCCGTAGCTTGAGCTGAAAGCCTGCTGGGCATTGCCCCCATGCCAGCGCATTGCTATACATCAGCTGTGCTGCCGTTGAAAGCTAGAGGAGCTTGTAGCTGTGCGACGTACCTCGAAACCTGAGTACTTCAGGTACAGAGCGGAATGCGCGGAGAGCTTGTCCGCATCTCGGATGTGATAAGTACCGAGTATGAGTCTGCGTCCCGTCCATGGCAGTACCAGGTGTCGGCGTGAGGCATCAAAACTAAGGTAGGGCAAGGTCACGGGGAGAACTTGTCCTCTGGGTCCGTCGGAGTCCAACAGGTAATCCCCGGCGTTGTCCTCCACGAAGAGGTGGCCGCCCTCGAAGTTGGAGAGAGGGATCAGGATGTTGTTCACCCCTTGTTGATTGTTGTCGGTGTGCAATCCAGAGGCCATATTTCGTGCCAGGAATAGAGTCGTGCGTGGATGGCGTCCGGCCATGGTGTGCACAACCGTGTTGAGGAGACACGTCGCCATCGGAAACCGATGCGTTGGTGTCCTCAGACCGGCCAGTGGCCCCTGCTGGTATGCGCCGAATGTGACAATCCGCTGGTCAGCAGACTGTGGCAGTGCCACCGATGCATTGCGACAGGCAGAGGTGGTAGGCATAGTGGCATAGTGTCCAGCAGGGCATCCAGTTGCTCGAAGGTGACCCACCTGCGATGTAGGTAGTCCGCCGCGGCCTGTTCGACTGCACATAGGGTGAATTTGTGCTCCATTTCATCCATGTCAGGAGGGAGATGTAGGCATATGCCTGGTGCCTGCGCCTGTGGAGCGTATAGGCTCAGGGCTGAACAGACGGAGCCCTGTCGTTCCTCCTCTTGTGCCGCGTCCTCGTCAGTCGTCGGAAGGGTCGACCGAAGGGTGCGTTGAGCAGTTGGCATCGTGAGTGTCGGGCGACGGCATTTTCGTGCCGGTTCGGGGACCTCCTCGTCAGATTCGTCCAGGTCCATGGGGATACATCCCGAGCTGCTACGGAGCCTCCACATCGCTAGGGGCAGCTGTTTGGCCTGAGCGTCCAGACCAGCTATCTGGGTCTGAGAGCCGACAAGTGTGAACAGGAATGATGGTATGAGAGGGTGACAGCCTAGTATCCGGTGTCAGATCCCAGCTGATTCTGCATTGATGGCGAAAGCATCACACTCAAACCGACACTCTGTTTCAATCCGAACTGCAACATGTGTAGCAGCGTCGTCTGAAAAGAAAATGGCCGTGATGATGTACAGCGGCGTGTGAGCCGACAGGCTCGTGGAGAAAGGAGAAAAGAGTTGAGTACCGGCCGATACAGCTCCAGCACGACATTGTCGCCATCAGGATGACATGGGCGGACATTGTCCCAGCTGCGTTAGGGCGGTGGGGGTCTCGGGAATGGGCACTCTTCCAGGAAGCGATCTGGGTAGGCCTGCATATCCCCCGCGACTCCACGCAGCAAGTCCGCGGCAGTGTGAAGGCTTCGAGACCAATCCTCGATGGTGGTTTTTCGAGATCCTGGTGTGGGAGTCCTTGCGAGATCTCGAGCCACAAAAGCATCGCCAGACTGGAGCATGTGGCCCTTGGTGTCGAAGGGGACATCGCTGCCTCCTGAGGCTGCCATCGCTCGGAATCTGGCGTTCGGGTCGTAGACCTGAGCTTCCTTCATGACTATGTTAAAAGGAGGCGCTGATTCCGGTGGGTCAAAGGGAGCCTGCATGGGCTGGGGCGGGGGCTGGCGTTGGGCAGAAATTGTCTGCGAGGGGTCTTGGTCCTCCGCAGGGCGGGCGGGAGGTTCTCCCCAGATGCCTGGCAGCTCGGTAGAAGCACGTGGGGGCTCCCGCTGCGGATTCGCTGACCCTTTGTCAGCTGGGACAGCTTCCATGGCGGGTCGGTTCACAGGAGAGGTGGGAGATGGAGGCGACTAGTACTCTACTACGACTACTACTACGACGACGACTACTACTACTACTACGACGACGACGACGACTACTACTACTACTCCTACTGCGACTGCTACTGGGTTGCGCGCCTCCCGGCGCCTGGTAGTTTGCAGTGGTCCGAGGGTGTAAAATGCTAACTTTTTCAGAGTTTTGGGAAATTGTAGTTCAGCCAACTTCAAAGAGACTAACTACTTGGGTGTATGATGATAATGATGATGTTAAGGATGACGGTTATGAGGATGATGATGAAGATGGTCAGGTTAACGATGGTGTTGAAGATGGCGAGGATGATGGTTATGAAGATGATGACGAAGATGGTCAGGTTTACGATAATGCTGAAGATGGTGAGGAGGATGATTGGGTGGGGCGCGCATCGTTTTTTCGAGGTTTTGTGGTTGCAGAGGCTGCTGCTACTGCTACTGCTACTGCTACTGCTATTGCTGCTGCTACTGCTACCAGCGCCGGCGCTACTGCGTAGCCCCTCCCCACCACCCCACCCCACCCCACCCCCATCCCCCACCCCCCCACCCCACCCCCACCCACCCCACCCACCCCACCCCAACCCCCCACCCCACCCTACACCACCCCACCCCACCCCACGCTACACCACCCCACCCCACCCCACCCCACCCCACCCCCTAGCAAAACGCCAAAAAACGCAAAAAAACGCAACAAAAATGCAGAAAAGCAGCGGTTAACACCAGGCGCCTGGGGGCACGCAAAGCTATTGCTGCTGATGCTGCTGCTGCCACTGCTACTGCTATTACTGCTGCTAGTACTAGTACTAGTACTAGTACTAGTACTAGTACTAGTACTAGTACTAGTACTAGTACTAGTACTAGTACTAGTACTAGTACTAGTACTACTACTACTACTACTACTACTACTACTACTACTTCTACTACTTTGGTTTTCCATGCCTCTGGCCCTCAAGTCTTTCAGCTCTGCGTGCGAGATATCACGGTACACCGGAAGTTAAGCTGAAAGCCCAGCTTTCTCTTCGGAACCTTCATCAGGTAGGCTGAATGCTCTGTGTGACTTCAGGTCTAGGTTAGATTTTCCAGAATGACAGCCTCCAGGGATGTTGTGTACCTTGAGACTACCCTAAGCTTGCCTATGTGACAGACGTGCACCTCTGCACCGAACAGTGCCAAGGTTCTGCGACTTATGCGGCGGAAAATTCTTTGCGCACTCTCTGCCGCACCATCGCAAAAGTTGCGAGAAGAAGGCCTTGCAACGACATGTCAAATTCAGCCCTTTCTGAACATGTTCTGATAGTCACTGATAGCACGGATGACGCTCTTGAATGCTCGCGTTACTATCACTTGGCTTTGTCAATCGTTAGCAGAGAAGCAGGACTGTCGAAGCTCCAGCAATCTGTGCTCTTACCGCTGCATTGAGCTCCCTGTCCGTTTTTCAGGTTCAGAGTCAGATGCATGAATGCCCGTATTGCGCTATGGCCGCTCGCGGCTGAGATGAAGCCTTGTAGGTGTTTGCAAATTTCTCCGACGGCTCCACGAGGTGACACAGCTCGAAATGGACTCGCATATCCTGTCGTGCAAAGTTGCGACGCTTGCAAGCACTTTGTTGCTGGGCCATCGCTGTTCCGGTCGGCCTGATGTGTGGATACCTCACAACAAACTTTGAAGCATTGACAAGCTTCCCCAATCGGATTGCAAGAACAAACACGAGAAGTGGACCTATACCCCAGCGTCCCAAGGTCTGAAGTACAGTCTTTGGAACTTTTCAACCTGCTCTGATACCATACTGAATTTGCAAACATCGCAGAGCTCACCCGGCGGAGGGAGCTCCTTGGTCAACGGGGCGGGGAATCATTTTCATGTGAGCTGGGTCACGCACGGGCAATCTCATCTCAATTAGCGGCCGCGTCGGAAGTTCTGCGCGTGGCATGGGTGCTGCACTGCACATGTCTTGTGCCTTGTGCCGGTGGACCATGGCGGACCAAGAACAATTAGCAACTGCAGACGTGAAGCTTCGGGAAGAGCGGAGAAAGTGATTGGCCAAGGAAGGCGGCGGGTGCCAAGCCAACGGGTCAAAGTGCCCAGCTGAGACAAAGGCTCCAGCAGGACCTTCGACCTTCCCTTGTCTTCAGATTGAGCATCTTCAGAATCTGAAGGACCGTCGGGGCACTGCGACGGCAGCAAGCGGACGTTGGGTGCTAGGTCAGGGTTACATGCAGGCAGAAGGGTTTGGGCATCGCAGTTAGTTCTTTGAGGCCTGATCTCGCAAACCAGCTCTCAAGGAGCGGGGAATCTCAGCGTGCGATGGCTTTTGTGCTTGCGGGGCAGTTGAGCGCAATCGCCCAGGCACGGTGTGGAAGGGAAGTCCCTTTGAACGAGGCGGGCCACGGCCAAGCACTGGTGGCTGATGGCTGTGGTGATGCACCTCTCAGATATCTGGCCGACGGACGCCGATGGACCAACACGGTACGCTGCAATTGCTTTTTGGAAAGGCCTTCGTGAGAGTTTCTGTTGCCAGGTGCTGGCGCCGATTCTGTGCTGCTGCCATGTCCGACACAAAGTCGTCCGGATAATTTCAGACTCCCTTTGAGTTCCAGACCGTTTCAGGTCAAGTTTGCGGCCGCACGTTTAGTGCTGACCGCATTGCGAAGCACCAGGCCAACGGACAGAGCTTTGAAGCTGAGCGGAGTGCATGAGTGAATTTTGTCAGGCCATTTGCTTGAAAGTGAGCAAGGTTGGGACTTGATGCTAGAAGGTCTGAGCTTCCCGTTTTCCTGTTCCACAGAAACGGCCGATCTTCCGTGCCGAGAAGCAGCGTGTCTTCATGGAGGTGAGGTGGTGATTTGTGCGCTTTGTGAACGCTGGGCCTTGCTCCGTCCAGGGTGGCAGTGGTGGCAGTGTGGCTGGCACGGCCATGAGCACTTCACACAACAGGCAAAAGCTGTGCAATCGCCGGAAGCCGCTGCAAAGCATGGTGCACTTGGTCAGAGGTATCGAGGAAGCAGCAAGGCCAGACCCAAGATGTCTGTTGGACTGGAATGGCGTACGGCGCTCTTCCCCATCAGCATCCAAGGCTGCCAAAGCTGCCAAAGCCTGCGATTCGGGACAGCCGGATCCTCAATAGCTGAGGATCACATTTCAGCACTTGCTGCTGCTCTCAGGCCTTTGAACACCAGGTGGCGCGAGCAAAGCTGGAGCTCTCAGTTTATCCCATCGGCGCCCTCTTGTTTGTTTGCGGGATTGTAAGTCAGGCAAAAGCTTGCGGGAAGCAATCAGAGCGGCTCAAGCCCAAGGTGAGCTCAAAAGGCGTGTTGAAAAGCTTGTTGGCTCCAAAGGCCAAAGGAGCGCCGCCAATGCCAATCTGGGGTCACAACATTCACAATCAGCGGCCCTGCGCTGAGTTGGGGGAAGCGCTTGTCTCGTCTCGGAACATCCGCTGTGGGCCTAGGAGTCAACCTCCTGGTCGAGGAAGCTATCGGCAGCGGTGACTGCCTCGCCCGCACTTGCAGTCACCTGCACCTGCTCAATCTGCTCTCAGTGCTGCCGGCGCAATCGTTTCGGCTCAGTGGATGTGGTACATGCAACCAAGCAGCACCTTCGAGGTCTTTTCTCCACAAGACGACTTGTTCTAAGCCTGCCAGAAGCGGCACCAGCCAGTGTTGTTGATGCTGCAGCATGGGATAGCATGGGAGCATGTGCTGACTGGTGTCAGGACTCATCTCACTAAATTCAAACAGTTTTCATGTACAAGACAGAACCTTCAAGCCACGTTCTGTACCACTGCAAGTGCAAAAGATGCCATTGTTAGCATCTTCCCGTGTTTCTGTCCGCTGTGCCGAAAATGCCGAGACAGGACGCCGGTGGCCGGAAGTTGCGCCTGTGTAAGCCAGGCATGTTTACGGCATTGCGACGTTTGCATCCTTGGCATGCGCGAAACACGACTGCTGGATTCTCGTAGCGTGGCAGATTGGTTCAAAAGCAGGGACAGGCATTAGAGCCATTCGACTGCGACAGCCTGCCATCGCGAAGCCACCGGTTGACCAATGACAGAGAAAATGGTTAGCGATGATGACTCTTCATCCGAGGCTGGGTGAGTTGGAGAGTGCACGAAGTGTCTGACGGCCGTCAGAGAGAGTGTGTGTGTGTGTGTGTGTGTGTGTGTGTTTGTACGCACGTGCCGTGCAGAGTCTTCTGACAGGAGGAACAGATTAAGGAGACGTGGCCTCCTTTCATGATGTTGGCGCACCTAAGATGCAGTAAGGAGAGGCTCAGTCCGGCTAGCAGCTTCTTGCTGTCCGTTTTGGCAAGGCAGCTGTGCTGCATCAGCGCTATCGAGGGCATTGACATGGGCCTGTTGCCGGCAGTGACCTTTGCTCTTCAGCACGACCTCCAGCTGAAACTTCCGCAGATTGGATCGATGAGCTTGGCGCAGTCAGTGGCGCAGGCCCTTGGAGCACCTGTATGGGGTGTGTTGGCAGACAGAAAAGTAGCCCGGCGAAAGACCCTGCTTGCTATTGGTGCCTTCTTTCAAGGTCTTTGCACCATAGCTTTGGGTTGGACAGAGAACTTGGCCATGATGATCATCATTCGATCTATCAACGGGGCTATGCTTGCAGGTTTGAGGCCTGTTTGCGTCGGAATCATTGCCGACACCACATCAGAGCTTTCGCGCGGCAAGATCTATGGTTACCTACAGCTTAGCGTGACAGCTGGCATGATGGTTGCCACTTCGGTTGGTACACCAATGGCTAGCGCCTCGATTTGCGGGGTTCAGGGATGGCGAATAGTCTTTGCCCTCGTAGGAGCCTTTGCTATCTTCACGTCTTTGCTCATCTCCGTCTTCATGTTCGAGGCAAGACACGAAAGAACCTGGAACAAGGAAAGTCGCAAGCGATGCAGCGGAGTCACCCAGGAGTTTGCAAAGTTCTTCGGCTACTTCCGCAAGCCAACTTTCGTCTGCCTCATCGGACAGGGGCTGTTTGGAGCCATTCCTTGGAATGCGTTCAACTATTCCACTCTCTATTTTCAAGTGGTCGGGCTACCGGAAGCTCGTGCCGCCTCGCTAACGACTGCATTTCAGGCTTGCTGTGGCATTGGAAACGTTCTTGGAGGCCAGGCCCTGTAGAGTCCATTCCGAATGCAGCCTTATCGAACAGGGACATATTCCAGACATGACATAGCAATCGGAATATGACCCCACTCTCGCCTTTACCCCGGGATTTAGTATTTGCATTGACAGTGGCGTTGGTGTCCCTGAGGTTACATCGGTGATGCTTTGGCAAGGAGGTGTCCTGAACACGGGCGCGCCTTTACGGCGAACATGTCGGTCTCCTTGGGCATTCCCTGTGTCTTCCTGATCTACATGACCCAGCCGTCCGAGGACTATCAGTACATTTGGTACTTATCTTTGCTGGTGCTCATGGGTCTGACAGCAACTTGGTGCTTGACAGGCGTGAACTTGCCATTGCTGTCAGAAATAGTCGATCCGGCATCACGGAGCGGCATCATGGCATGGGAGAGTGCGATGGAGGGGGCGATCGCAGCCGTTGCGGGCAATGCAGCCGTGACATTCCTGGCTAGTAGTCTCTTTGGGTACGATCTGGTCGATGCGGATCCTTCCGATGCAGCACAAAGTCGGCACAATGCGGAATCGCTTGGCAAAGCTTTGGCTTTGACATCAGTGTTGCCATGGACCCTTTGCCTGATCTGTTATATCTTCATGCATTGGGCATTCCCTTATGACAGGCGGATTATTCTGGCAGAAAGGGAGAGATACAGGGATCAGCAGGGCAGACTATTGACAGGTTCTACGATGGTCAGTGAGGATCAACTTGAACTCTGTCAAGAAGACGAGGAGGACGAGAACCTCGAATACCTGCCCTCTGTCGGCTGCTAGCTGCTAGCTGCTGTCAGCCAAATGCTGTAGCATAATACACAATTCAACGGGCAAAGCATGCTGCAGGCCTTAGCTCCTTGTAGCGTGAGTTTAAAGACGCTGCTAAGCGCGCAGCACTTGAAGCGACAGTCGAAGGCCGCATCAAGGTGAGCATGAGTGTTGTGTGATGCAGCATGCCATCAGAGAGACGTAGCATAGCAGTGGCGGAGGTGGGCACTTGAAAGTTCCGCTGCAGTCCCATGCCTCGCAGCTGTTTCCTGTTGCTTTAGTCATTCGACAATGCTGCCTCGATCATGTCAGCAGTCATGGCTGGTTGCATCTTGGCCCAGAGCACTGGCAGAGGGCGTGATGCTCCGAGAAACGCAACTTGCACAGTACTATCTCAGGCAGCATTGTTTGCACTGGCGTGGGCAGAGCGGAGAACAGTCCCCAACCAGCTGCGTTTCTTGAACCGAAATACTGTATGCCAGGAGCGACTAGAGTCCCTTGCCCGCTTAGTCAGGTGTTGGGACGTTCCTGTCCGGGCTACGACCACATCCCCTCACCGGTGAAGACTTCCGCCCGACCGCAACCCGCGACTCGTCAAACAAAGCATGTCGTTGACATCTGTGGCAATTGCAGCTGAGCACAAGACAGCCTTGTGCTGGCAAGGGGAGTTTGTCGACCTCATGAAGCACAGCACTCCCTTTGGTGACGGTTTGGAGAACGGCATTGTCGGCGACAATGCCAGCTGGGTCCACTACAACTGGCCTGAGGACTAAGACCAGTGGCATGTTTCACTTTCAACACGCGCTCGCTGCCTTTCTGCTGAGCCACTCCCAGGGCTTCGAAGTCGAGTTCCGACGCGACGGCTACCCTCGTTCGCTGCCGAACTTCACCATGTTCGGTGCTCTCGCCGCAATTGCATTGCATCCCGTAGGCCACGCGCGATGCATGTTCGAACGCTCAGGATCGTTAAGGCAGAGCTCTGTCAAAGCCACCATCGGCCTCGGCGGTGCCTTCGTGGAGGACGGCGAGTATGCGTGGGCCCTGTGTGCTTCTTCACTGTGCCACACGCGTCTGGTGATGGGCTCATGCGCGCCCATCTTGCCTACCGCAAGGTTGCCACGTGGCAAGGCAGCGGCAACATTTCGTGGGAAGGAGATGCTGAGTTTCTGCGCATGGAGGACAGTGGGATTCAGACTGCCCGAATCTTCCAGATTCAGACTGTCAGACTGGAGACCTTCAGGATGCCAACACTGCCAGAGTCCTGGTCCGACCAAAGAGTGGTATCTTGGCGCAGTGACCCCGACGGGGGTGCTCAGCACCGAGCAAAGCTGGGTTACTCAAGACCTAAGGTGTAATTGTGCGAGTTTTTCAGACGGACGAAGCCGATCCACTTCATGGGATCTCCTTGACCCCGGCCGCACAGCCGCACATAGCTGCGCCACCAAGTCAGATTCATCGATCCGTCGAGCACATCCTGAGGTTGAATATCAGCACAACGCGACTGAGCAGCTTTTTCATCCTCGCTTTCTGCAGATGTTGAACGGCACCGCCGTACTGCGCTTTGCCAGTTGGCAGATGATCGAGCCTTAGCAAAAGAGAAAGTGTGCGAGATTGCCGACAGAAAATTCGAAACCCAGTGTAGGATGTGAAATCTCAACCGTGCCTCGGCGGCCGAAGCCGTGGCGAATTTACGGCCAAAGCCAAACCGGTCTGTCGGGAATGCACTTGAATGCACAGTTTGAGCACGGGGGAACTATGGGGAACCCAGCAGCCTAGAGGACAGGGTCAGCTCCCTCTTCCAAAGTAGGTACTGGTCACCATGAACAATTGCCAAGCCCTGCTGCATAGGCTCAGAAGCCAATGTAGCTCTGCCATGTCTCAGGATGCTTGGAATCACGATGGTTCTCTAACTCGCAGCTGGGAGAATCGAACGCTTCCAACGGATCAGACGCAAGCAGGCTGGTTCTGGATCCGGCATCTCTAGTTGCTCCTGTGAAGATGCTGGATACGTTTCGGTTGCAGGTCCATTCGGAGTTTGTGTGGAGTACATGGTGGAATTGGCCAACAGACTTGGAGCGCGCCCATGGTTCTCGATGCCAAAGGTCGGAGAATTCGTTCGGACGCACACGCATGCGCTTGTCATCGCCTGTGCGGTGTCACTGTGTCTTAGCTACGTTGGAGTGCAATTATATTGCATTTTCCACGCCCTGTCCACGACGCACGTCTCCTTGTTTCAATGTTCCCCGTTCGACTTGCTTGAGCTCGTTCAAGTTGTAATCAAGTCCAGCGTGTGCACGCCGTCGGTGGCATGGCGAGGCCGTGGAGACTGAGCCTGATAGTGTCGATTCATATGCCAGAGAGTTTGCCTCCTGGCATAAGATCCTAAAATGTGAAGCGGCCGTTTGATGGACTCCCGCGAGCATTTTGAACTAAGGCGCTGCTGGTAAATCGGAGCTTGATTGACCGGCTGAAGGTCTATGTGGAGTACAGATCTTGTTGCCTCAATGGCTTGGCGCCTGGGTGGGACTCACAGGCCCTGCACACCATGATTTCGCATCGCAGTGTCCTGTTGCGTGTTAAAGCCGGTAGCGTCTTCACTA